CAACATGATCACAAAGAAAGAGATTTTTGACTTGTCAGTTACAGGTTCTTCATTTATGAGAACATCTAACAAGTTTTTTGGCTAGAAGTTTCTATGAAGTAATATTTTCTGAATATGGTAACGCTTGGTTCTTGCAGCGAGAAGTGTTTTACATCTGAATACCACAAGGTGCTTTACAGAGGTGGGTCTGTGTTTGAAAGGAGAGGGAAGCTCTGGCTTGGTGACTCGCCCCAGGTGGTGTTTGAGGCCAGTGGCAGAGCTAGGTTTATTATTAAGACTTAGTGGTTTCTTTTGCTATCATAACACTCACACACAACCAGGACTCCAATGAGCCAGTTTTTCAGAGTATGAACGTCACCTCTGCCTAGGCACTCCCATGGAGAGCTGAGAGAAAGGAGAGATTGCCCGCTGCACTGCCATGTTGCCTAGAAAAGCAGCATCCAAGCAGTTTTAAACACACTTTAGAAAGCCTTTGCTTCAGTTCACCAGCGCTAAACAGCCTTAATTGCAAGGATGCTGCATGGCAAAGGATCGTGCATACAGAGGGGTGGCTCAGGAGGGCAGGACCTGCCTGGTGTCCTCTGGACCAGAGCCTGGAGCTTGGATGTGCCTGACTCCAGAGCAGCCTCTTGGAAAGTAATTTTTTTACATTGGGAGTGAGAGCAGCAGCTGGATGGCCCTGCATCAGAGTTTTCCTTTCACATATGTCCTTCCTGCAGGCTGAGTGCTCCTTGTCACCTACAGGCACGTTGCTATGTTTTATACCCTGCCTTGCTACCTGGAAATCAAGGAGATGGTAGTGCAGGAAAGAGGTAAATATGGGGAGTTTTTGAATTAGTAGGGTAAGTGATTTGCCCCACTGTGTCTGCTCTCTCACAGAAACCTTCACAACAAAACAGAACAATATGTTAGGAGGATAAAATGTGCGTGTGTGCTTCTAATACCACAAACCAGACAGAAAAGTAAGACTTCTTCTGCAGATATTTCCAGCCGGAAGGGGCAGTTTGCAGTAAAAGCCCACTGGTTAAATAGGAAAACTGAACACTGCTTGACAGGGCTTCTCCTGATGGGATCATACTCCGCACCAGCACTCCGCTTTGCTCCTGTGTGGAACAGATGCTGTTATTATTGCTGCTCAGAGGCAGCACTGAGATTAACAATTTCCATGTACAGATACTTCTTTGGCATTACATAACCCGTGTATTTAACACACACTAAATATTCATTGCAAATTGGCTGCTGTGAGGGTATTCACATTTTTAAAAAGCTGTTTCCTTCCCAAGACATGCAGTTATGCTATAGCCTTAGTTTGATCTGATTATGAAAGCCATCCTGAAAAATGCAGTGAGTATGGGGCTGTGGGATCTCATAATTTTAAAAAAATAAGTAAAATCTGGGGGCTCATCATTAGTTTTCCACGCTAAATGGCGTGGAATAGTTATAACCTGTTTCATGTTCATCTTTGATCACAAGCATAAGAGTAGCAACATAAGGCTGGGATGCATGTAGCACTGTCATGATGCTGAAAAGATGCATGCAACGGATCATAGAAAGTTCTTTGTCAAGCACTTACCGTAAGCTGAAACAACAACACTGAGATATAATATTCACTCTTACTCGTTGAATTAGGGAGAGAAAAGATTAAATCACGCTTGAGACATCTGTCTGGCTGCCTCAAAAAACTGTATTTTCATGCTAAGTGTAGTTTTAAAATGTCATCCTGAAAATGTGTGACATTTTAATGGGCTGATTGCCAAGATTCTCAAATCTGTTAATTTCCATATGAATCACAGCACCAAATATTATGGGAAAAGTATAAGAAACTAGAATTATGAGAGAATGCCTTGCACTCCCCTTGGTTAAACATATGTTGGGAGGATTGTCTCTTAGAAATCTAATATTACAAAGGCAAACGAGATTAAAAAATGCTGTGGTATTCCCATTTATACCGATAGCTGGTTGTGATTGCATGTGGTCATTCTTACATCTGTCTCAGAATAGCAGCCTGGATGGTGCCTATTCTTTCAATAAGCTGCACAGCACATTACAGCATCATGGCAGTCACCAGTGCAGCCCTGAGGACGGGTTGCATTCCCTTCTCCACGTTTCTGATGCAGCTCCAATGAAGTCAGCGGGATTTCACCAACATCTTCTGATCATGTCTCTCCAATAGATGGTTCTCAGGTTGCTCTTAAAAATGATGGCGCCAAAACAAGCACCAAGGGCCATGAATTCTCAGACTCCCATGCACTTCAATTAGAGAAAGCTGAGGAGCCTGCACTATGCAATTAGCTACTGTACGGCCAGGGTTCATGACTAGGCTTGTGGGAGTTAAGCACATACATAAATACTTGTTGGATTAGGGTTTATGGTTAGAGAAAATCCTTCCAACTGAAACAGAACTTCCTATCAGGATCTAACTCAAACAGTTTTAGTGGGAGGAGGAAACAGTCAGGCCCCTACAGCAGGTTTTCTCATCTAATGTAACTAGCTCCGTGCAGGACTTGGCATATCCTAAGCAATTGTTTATAGCTCCTGCACAGCTCATCTGCTTTGGGAGCTGATTTGTGACGGAAATCCACTTGAATAGAGATGGTAAATTTGATTTGCTTGCGAAAAAGAAGTGAAGAATTCCACACCAGAACAATCTGGGTCACCATGTACTTTGGATTATAAAGTTTAGTACAGAAAAAAGGCCCAAACCACGTAATTCAGATCCAACTTTCAGGCTTCAAAGCTTGAGGTTAATCAAAACTAGGGTTTAGTTTATCCATTCATGAAGATGTCTGTGTAGCTTGGAGCTGACCCTGTGCTTGGTTGGATCTTCCCATCTCCCTTGGAGTCCTCCAGGACTGTTCAAATCCAGGGACCAGACTCTTTTCCAGTTTGCAGCAGAAAGCCCCAAATCACACACGCCAAAAGCTGTTTAAAGGAGAAGGCAGCTTGGGCAGAAAGAGACACCAGCAGAGAGAACTAGCTGTGGGTCTGTCCTGGGTCTCTGAAAATGTGCAAGCAGGAATAAGGTAGAGGGATGAATGTTTCAAGGTAGTATTGATCTCCCTTAGAGATTGGAGAGTAGCTGAAGTAATGCAGTTTTGTGCAAAAGAAAGAGACTAAACATGGGAGATGTCACTGGGGGAGAAACAAGAGTTACGCTTAGAATTAACGTGCAGAAGCAACAGGAGAATAAATCTGAATTTCCAGAGCAGGAGGCAGGGCTTGTTGTTCAGAGGTGAGCTTGGTACTAGACACCTGCCAGAGAGGCTGAGCTTCCTAAGGTGTTTCCTGGGTCATGGGGGGAAAGACTGTCCCCTACCTGCTCACCTCTTTTTGAAAAACAAACTAAAACAACACATGCGGCTTTGGACGTTGCAGAGCATAGCACTAATGGTACCCTTACTGCTAACACACCTGGCAAAGTTGATGTGGCAGCCTTGGGAACAGAGCCAAGGAGGACTGGAGCAACACGCATGACGCTTCGCTGGGTGCATGTCTATGGCTGCTGGGGGGAGGGATGCCAGCAAGCCAGGGTGCAGCCATGCCATGATAGGAACTGGTCCTGTCTGCTGAAACCCCTAGGGAGGGTAACCTTTCCCCAGTAGGAGAAACCAGGGGTGGGTGAGCAACGTGGCTGTGGCTCACCTCTCAGAGGCACAAGGACGGGGGATTTCTTCTAGCTTCCCTTTGGCGAGGTGGTGCACAGGAGTCAGTCACAGTATTGCCTGCTGCCCGTTTGCGTGACTGCAACTGAGCAGAGCTTGGCTCCCAACCTTTACAAAGTCATCAAGGGCAGTGAAGCTCTTTCAGTATTATGATGCAAGCACACCACAAAAAATGATTCTAAATCTTCTCTTAAGCAGAGCAGACCCTCCCCTCTCTTTTACAGCCCCTTACCTTGTATTCATTACAGAATCACAGAATCACAGAATCACAGAATGGTCAGGGTTGGAAGGGACCTCTGGAGATCATCTAGTCCAACCCCCCCGCCAGAGCAGCGTCACCTACAACAGGTTGCACAGGACTGTTGTCTTTAAGAACAGAGATAGTTCTCACATGAACACATACACAAAAGAAAACAAGTACAACAGCCATTTCTGTAGAAGAATATATTATTTAGCAGATCAGTTTAAAAGTAAAAAAAAAATCTGTACATCTTTGAAGGTTTTTCTTGTTGTTGCTTTTTGCATCTACTAGGATAAAAAGATGCTTGCACAGTGGTTTCAGCTTTGTGCTCCCTTCTTTGCTTGTGCTGAAGGATCCCGTGACATCTAGCTGCACCAGGCCACAAAGCGAACTGGCAAACTCACTAATGTTTCTTCTGATTTCTTCTAGCATACAAAACAAAGAAAAATTGCATCCACTATGCTGGGCTTCTGCATGTACTGTGAACACTATAAAATTCAGAGAATAATACAGAGAACGGTGTCATTAGGGCCTACTAGGCAAACAAAAATATATGCCAGGACCCTGGTCAGAATATAAGCATCTCTTAAGCTATGCTGTAATTAGCATAATGCTGTACAAACACACATATATATATATATATATATATAATTTTGACTAAACCAACTTTTTATTTTGTTTTTGGATGCCAGTGGATCATTTTCCAGAAAAGGCTCCTTAGCTAAACTCCACTTAGTCTCTACAGACTGTGGTCAGCATGGTCACCAAAAAGGCAAATCTGCTGAAGATTCAAGCCGTGCTGCAACCTGTGCAATGTCCGCAGGGGGAGTCCTGCCGAGGGGGCTGCGATAGGCATGCTGGAGCGAGTGGAGCCCTTGGTGCCCGACGGCGGCAGTGCCCGTGCGAGAAGGCTGCAGGCTGTAGAAAAGGCACCCGGGCAGGCAGACAGGCAGGCAGGGCATCCGTGCCTGCCACCTCTCCACTTACATCGTCCCTGTTGGATTTTGACGTGGCCACCACGTCTGTTTGGGAAATACAGCATTTCTCAAAAACAGAATAACCTTAGGGCTTGTGTTTTGTTCAAAGACCTTTTCGTCTCACTTTTCAGTACTGCCGGTGTTCAAACTTTCACTTTTCTTTTTCTGCATCTGAAATGAAGAGCAAAGCAGGATTAATACCCCTGACTCACACCATGCTAATTTCCACTGCTGCTGTGAGTCTAATGCTCATCTCTGTACAAGGCATGTGCAACATTTCTTGGGAAATAACAGGCAGCAACTTAGTATATCACAGGCACCTTTTCATCCAAACAGCTCTGGATGTATGTTCTGAGTAAAGAGCATTCAGTCTTTCTCATCATCTGCTGTGCTAGGCTCTTGGATTATTAACTAACTCCTCTTGTTTCAGGATATTTATGAATTCAGGCATCTCCTATTTTCCTAAGACCTCTTATGCCAACACATCATAAAGCTCCATCAGTTTGTAGAAGATTTCTGTTTTGACAGCTTCTGTAAACCAGAAGTAAAATCTTGGCTTAACCTGAAAGATGAATGGGACTCAGAAAGTCTGGCAGTCATATCTGAGTTCTTCTTCCCTCCTTTGAGAAATGCTCCACTCTAAACTGAAGAATGCCTAAAAGACTTTCTTCTTTATAACTTAGTGTCCTCAAAGTATGTGCTTTTTGGTTAATTAGCCTTAGTATTTGTGCTGCTGAGGGGCTTTTCCTCCAAAGCACTTGGGAGGAGGTGGGAGCTACACAAGAAAGCTGCTGTTCCCTTCATCCAGCCAGGGGTGATCAGGTGAATGAACCTTCATTTCCCACCTATCAAACAATATCAGCAGAACTAGTGCTCCAGGGCACTTGCCAATTTATTTTAATGACAGAGTGACTGATAGTATCCTGTCTACATGATAAATTTGTTCACATCAGAAAACCCCTACGCTGTGATGCCATTTGGCAGGTATTGTTGTCTGCTTTGGCAGGGAAAAGAAGCACTCGAAGAGGCGTGCAAGGAAGGTGTGCAGACCCAGTGTCACAGGCTGCGGGGGCTGGGTCAGCACACTGGTTGCTGCACTGCAGGTGTGAGGCACCTGCGTTTGGGGCCTGGCCTCGGTCTCTGCCACGTCAGGCAATGCAGACGTGGCCGGAGAGAGCAAAGATGGTTACGTGTGTATCCTACCTCCCCTAAGCCTTACGTGTCAAAATGAGAGACACTCCATAAATGGAGGTCCCTACTCAGTCTGGGCCATAAAATGGCTTCATTGGTTGTGTGTTTAATCTTACTGGGGGCTGTGTATTAGATGGTAATTCCTCATCAGATTTCAAGCATATCCCTGATGCTAGACACCTGAGTGGAAGTTTCTTCCCAGAAAATAAACTTATGCATTGGTGGTGCAGTGCCTTGAACTGCCCAACCTCAGGACATTTTGCTGCAATCTAGCCCAGGTTAACACCACCCCAGGGACAGGAGCTCCCACCAGGAAGAAGGTATTTGATAACACACACCCCTCAGATGGTTATTTCTGGGGTATGTCTTGAAGTCCCTCTCTTGCAAGCAGCTCCCTTCCCACGGCCATACTTGTGTGGTGCCTGGCCAACTCTGAAGGGCATGCTCTTGTGCAGACTTGCTGCTCATGGTACATGCCTTTCTCCAGCCAGGTATAATTAATGTGTTTCTCATGATTGTGATTATGCCATAAGCATTTGTACTGTTTCGGAATTAAGCTGCTATTAAATGTTTGACTTATTCAATCATAATGTTTGCTTTATCAAAGAGATATTTACCGCTTACCTCTTTCATAGCATCATCTATTTGTTTTAATTCCTCATAGCGGTCCCTGGATTCCCAAAGGGGCTGGAGCATCACCTCCTCCACTTCTGGGAATAGCTAGGTGAAAACAAGAGAGTATCAACCTTTCCTTTTGTATTCATTAACTTGTACGTGCTAGAAATGGGGTGAAAGACAGGGTGTGAACTGTACATCCCCATTTCCCTGGCTAACTGAACACCTGCTGGAGCAAACACTGAAGCTCTGCATGCCCCCACTTCTGCTTCTGGGCTTGGGTGACTTACCTTTGTTACAGTTTCAAACATGGGGATGAGAACAAACTTCAGGAAGCCAATCTGTGCTGTCGGCTTGGTGACTTTATCGCGGTCCATGAATGGTGCCACTGGAAGCCCCTCAGACTTTTCTCGGTCGCTCTGGAACAAATTCAGAATTAACAGATATTAATCTCGGCTAGAAGCCCGTGAGGAAAGTAATGTACCAAGTAGATCACCAGCTAAAGAGCAGTAGCCTTCAGATACAGATCTCAGTGGTGCCTGAAGATTAGCACAGAATAGCAATATGCTCCCCTCGGGCCAATGTATCCTGATTTGTTGAGATCAAGCATCTGAATAAAGAGAACTCTGTTCAGTTACATCTGCACAGTACTGGCATGAAAGCGTTGATCTCCAGGCTTTACAGGAAAATGAGGCCAACTGGTTCCCTTTGCAAACCCATGGGACCTCTGAGGTAAAATATTTCTGATCATTCAGAAAGGTGGTAATGGCTTATGCTGCTCTGGAAGAGAAAGAATACGTTTTTGATTTCCTTATCACTCTCCAGAGAGTGATTATTTTCAGTTATTCCACCAGAAATTGCATATCCTTCTTTACTAATGATTAGAACGAGTTCTGACTAGCTAGGTCAATGGAGAACATTTCCATTGACTGCAGTGAGTTTACCAAGCTATCTACTTGACTCGCTGTTTCTATGTGGGTTCACGTGCAAGGAGGCCACAGACTGTGTGTGCAAAAAAGATATCCTGCAGCAGACTTTGTCTCTCAATTATTGTGTCTTTCAGCAGATAGCGCTTTTGCTGGGTGGCCAAAACAGTAAGGCACACCAATACTGTAATTTCAAGTAAAAAGCTGCAGTTGCAGTGAGCGAGGAGTGTTTCTGACACATCATCTGAGGTGTCTGTCTCTTGTGAGAAGCACTCCTCAGCATGCACCCTATCAACGTATAGGCAAAACACACAAGAAAGCTCTGCCATCTCCTCTTCAGAGCATTGCTGTATGTCTCTTGAGATCCCATTGCTGCAGCATGTACACACTGCTCAGGAGCCCGTGTGCAGGAGGCAGCTGAGGGCTGCTCTTCCAGCGATCCTTTTTTAAGCAATCAGAAACTGTGTGCAGCTGGGAATCCAGTGAGGAGCAATGATCTGGGGAATTTAAAGTCTGACTTTGCACACCTCAGCAAGTTTTCTGCTTTCTCTTTAGGCAAATGTTCACACACAGTGAAAATGATCTTAACTAGTTTCTGTGTGATATTTGTTATCATTCACCTGATAACTTTCTTGCCACTGCTCTTGCCCTTTTCGCTCAAAAATCATTTATATGTCAAATGAACTTGCAAAGCAGCCACTTGACAAGGAACAAGCTTCAGTCTGCTAGCATTAGGATTTCTAGGTTGCTATGGCCTTTCCTCTACAAATTACAGTCGATTGCATTCACTTGCTTTCCAAACAGCTGCTTTTCTTGCCGACATCCTTCTCCCACTTTCTGTAAAAGAAGCCTTTCCATCCTAGAGCTAGGCTGAGCTAGCAGACAGCAGAGCACTTGTAGCTGAGGTGGCATTCAGGAAGAGCAGCAATTTGTGCAACTGCATCTCTCCCTCATTCTTACCTGCATAAAATATTCCTCTAGTAAGCAATCTACCCAGGGCTCCGCAACTTCCATCGGGCGGACTTCATTGGAGATATCACAGCATTTTATTAGTACCATCTTCAGCTGAAAGAGGATAATATTTTAATACTGCAGTCTTATCGCCAGCCCTTTTCCCCTATCCAGAACCTGTGTCTTTAAAATGCAACGGGAGGCAGTGTTTTCAAACAGAAAGGACAGTTTTAGGATTAAATCAGAGGTCTTAAATAATCTGCATTATTTTCTACTCTCTCAGTTACCCTGTGTAACTCAGTTATCCTCTCTCTGCCTCGATTTCCCTATCTGTAGCACTGGGATGTGTCACAGTGGGATGCGTGCTTATCTGCTGCATGAAAAGATTCAGCCACAAATGACCATGAAGTCACTTGCGGAGCACTCAGAGGCAGCTGGGGAGAGGCCTCCCTGAATGTCAAAGATGACTGGATTAGGAAGCAGAGGAGACCAGAGTTTGTAGTCTTGTGCATACATTTTGCCCCACAGTAATGGACAATAAGAATTTGTATCCTGACAGAGTAAATATATTTTCTTTCTTGATGGGATTCCAGGATTTCTAATGCTGGAATAATCTATTTTACATAGAGCACTTCCAAATTTTAATTCTTTTTGGTGGGGCAGAGGACATAGGAAGGATTCATTTTTGATAATGTATATTAAATCTTGTTTTTTAAACAAATGCTAATCTACAAGCTTTCACACTATGCACAGAAAAAATAATATCTACAAAACTTCCTTACACAAGTCATGTGTTCTTCATTTGAGTAATCAAAATTTTCCATTTTTTCCTTGAAAGAGTCCAGTATTTCTGCATGTCTCGCCATGTCTGTAGCCAGGATTAACGTAATTATTCCCTAGCAAAGAAAATATGTTCATATATTAACTTGACATTCTTTACAAAGTCTACTATTGCAGAGCAAAGTAGGGTCTTTCTTACACACAAAAAGCCTCAGATGCATTACATTGTTAACACTGAAAGGGGAAATTTCTGACTTGAAACTGGAAGAGGGTTATAAAGAGTTCATGATATAGGAAAATCATGGTTGGATCAATCTGTAACACTGGTGTGATGTTCCAGAGGCAGTGAGGTTTTTCCTTTCTCATTCACTAATTGTGGAAAAACAAACTGTACAACAGTATGTTAAAAGCTACACTCTGTTTGCCAAGATCCACTTTTGGCTCCTTGGAAAGCACTTTGGGTTTTGCTGCTGACTCTTAGTGGCCCTAAGAAGACACAAAGATCAGTAGATGTGGATATCCTCTGTGCTTATCCTCCTTGGATTAAGGGCTTTGAATACCCAGATGCAGCCAATATGTTAGGAGCTCTGTATCCTCTTTCTAGGCAGAGTTTATGATGGGAAAACATGGTTAATTTAAAGTTGCAGGTTTTCATACAGATCTATCCATTTGGGGCCCATGCCTGCTTGCCATACACTGGCAGAATCAGTAACTCCAACCAGACCAATATCTGAGCCCTTACGTTAGTCCGCTTTTTCATTTGGTGTGTAAGGAAGGTGTAACATGGAACTAAGACTGAATTTTGGCCCTTAGTGCTCTAATGGGAATTGTCATATTGTTCACTGTATCAGAGATAACTGTGATGACTGCCAGTCCACCAGATCCTCTTCCAACAGTACACTGCTCTGCTGTTGTAAATCTTTTCCCATGTTGAAGCCCCTCTTAAAATTAATACAATGTTCTCTTAAAGCATAAACTTCTGCCATGAGAGCTTAATCCTTTCCCAGTCAGAGCTAATTGGCTCCTTCAATAATATAAATATCTACCCCAAAAATGTCATAGGCTTTAATAGTCAGGATGTACTCATTATTTCTCAGCAAGACATTCCAGGGAGTGCTGCTGTGGAAATTTTCCAAGAATCCCTCTTGGATCCTTCCAGTGTGAGGGGCTTTTTCAGTCCTACCCTCTGGGGAGAATGATTCACTCTCGTTGTACGGCAGGGAAGTCTGTGTGTGCTTACATCTTCAGGAACAGTTTGCACTACACAGATGGGAGCAGCATTCATACCTGTCTTATCTGTTTGAATTGGTCCTGGTTGACGTTGGAGAAAATGTTGTATTCTGGCTGGGAAATGATCTGGAAAGCCACAGCACAGTGGTGGTTCTCCAGTGGGGAGATGTCATTGTAGCGTACCGCAAGCTCAGTTCGTGCATTTATCTGATAGCTGATGTGAAGAAAAACAATGAGAACTCCTGCAGACACACACCAGCTGCTCTAAACCATGCTGCTTACATTTTTTTTTACATTCTTTTCAATATTTATTCAATTAGCTGAAGTTTGTTTTTTGATTGTTAATACTAAATCAGATTTTTAGACAAGATAGATATTACTTTAATATCACCTCAGGCACTAGCTTACATTAGGGTTGTTGGGTTTTTTGTTTTTTGGTTTTTTTTTAATTTTACCAAGTCTCTGTAGCTTAAAATGACATAGAACAAACAAAGGAGCTGTCTGGGCTTCATTCAACCCCCACTAATGTCAACGGAGAGATTCTCACTGATCCCAGTCAGAGTTTGGTTCTGCCCTTATTTAATGAATGGCCACAAATAAATTAGATTCTCTCTCACACATACATGCACACAAAAGTGTCCATGGGTCAACAATTCTAATTTCCTCATATGATAATAAATAGAATAATATGCACTTCATGATTTATAATTATGAAATAATGTGTAAGTTAAATCACTCTTTGCATTTTAGTGTAATTATTCCACTTCAGTTAATGGAACTATAACCATTTGTGCTCCCTCAGCTGTCAAACATTTTACCTCATTTTCTCAGGAGTGGGGGAAAGTGTTGGAATAGAAATCTGAAAAAGCGTTTTCCTTACAGAGCCAAGGACAGCTGGCAACCCCAAGCCAGACCTGAGTTTTCTGCATGAAGGTCTGCCTTGGCCCATGTGTGAGTGAACAGCAGCGCCTTGGGGGAAGGTCGTGGCCAGCTCAAGCTGTGAGAAGGAAAACCTGATCTACCAAAAAATGCCAGCTGGTTAATACTTTCCCAATATATTTAAAGGGAAGAGAAAGCAAGAGACAGACTTACGTGTTGTTATAGCCTGGATGGTCCAAGTCATGGCATACTGCTGCAGTCATGAGAATCAAGATGTCAATTTGGGAAAATTTCTCCTGTAAAATACAAAACTTTAATGTAGTATTACAATTTCTACTTCCCCTATCCCCATAAATGAAAAGAAGTAAAAAAACCCACCCACATTTACTTTTTAGAGAAATGCAAATCTGAGCAAAATGAAGTATTTTTTCATAGATCAATTTACTTCAGTCAAGACAGAGAATTCCGCCTTCCCTTCCAGTAAAAATGACTCAGATTTGCCTTTGTTGCATTAAATAACAGCAGCTCAGAGGAGGCAATTTTCTTGAAACTTGCTATTACTGCAGAGATCATATAAAAGCACTGAGATATTAGTACAGTCTCTTACAAGTCATTTGAGCATCCTGATTAGTTAAGGGAGGGCTGGAAGATAGCTTAGTTGCCATTGCAGTCTGCATTAACTAAATCTATGAAAAGAGTCAGAAAAATTAAGTGTTCCGTTCCCACAGCTTCTGAATAGGACGAACTTCCATTAAAGCAAGTTTTTCTTCATAGTCTTACTGGCAAAAAAAATGGACTTAGTAACTGAGATGTTTAACTATGGAGAAGAAAGGGTTTTTTTTTAACTGAATACAATCTGGTTTGTACAGAAATGAAATGACTATATAAACACAGGTTATCCAGTCAATGAAAATAAATAATGCCTATAGTTTTGGACAAAGTACAGGTCAATTGTGAATCTTGTGTACAGTACATGCAAAGGATTATTTGCAGTAGCTCACCCCCGTGCAAGCACATATTTGGAGAAAACCCCTTGTGGGAACATATTGTGTCACAGGTGAAGACCATATCCGCAGATCATAGTTCAGTTGGCTTTTGGATCTAATTCATAGATGTTTCATGCTATTGGAGTGTCAAAAGATCGTCAGTGTACAAATCTGGGATATCCAGGAGGTGAAGGTAGCTTCCCAGCAGCCTCAGAAAGCTCTGTAGGTGCTTGGGGTCTGGGACGGGATGGTTGAGTGGTCAGCCAGAGGTGGAAATGCAACACCTTGCCTCCTCTCCCTAGGCACTGAACATGTGCAGCTACTACAAAGCTCATTACTTGCTACCAGGCTACTGGTGGCCTGTTTTGCAAGAAAAGTGGCACAGGTGTCATGGTGCCCAGTGGATGAACATGTGCCCCACAATGGAAATGGACTGATACTATTGAGGTGGGGGGCATACCTGGAGGCTGCAGAGCGAGATCATGCTGTACATCATCTGGGTCACACAGAAGCAATGCCGGAAATTATGAAAGGGGTTGTTTCTGTAATTGTCATGAATACACAGCTGCAGAGAGAGGGAATGAAGCAGTAAGAGACGGGAGAGCTCTTTCTTTATAAAAACATGATTACACACGCTTCCCAGCCTCCCTGGAAGCACTGTAGGAATCCCTACAGGAGTCCTATGAAGCCCAGTATTATTTTCTGCTAGGACAGAGTGACAGCACAAGGCCCTCTGACACTCTTTGCCTTCCTGGGGGAGGGTGACAGATTACTGTCTTTCAAGAATTTGTCAGCAGGTAAAGCTCATAGCAAATTATCTCTCATACCAGCTAGCAATGGATAAACATCCCAGCACAGCTGCAAGTGCATCTCAGTCCTGCTTTCGTCCTGAATTTGTATTTCAAAGTGTGCGGTGGTTAAATGGTGACTTTGGGTTGTGTGAAGAACTCCGTGTTACTAAAGATGTGAAGTACATCCCTGTTGCCCTCTATCACTGAATGCAAATTGCAGCTTTGAAATCTTCAAGGCTGAAATGTAGTTGTTATGTCATTAGCAAATGCCCAGAGGTGGCACTTTGGGATGTGTTGCTTGGCAAAGTGAAGACACGAATGCACGTGCACGAGTGTACCTGTGTGGATTTCCTACACTCTAGGCAGCACAGGAGAGATTTAGCCACATAGGCACATGGGAGTGATTTTTGGGTGTTTTAACTTTCTACAGATCCTGGCTACGTGCCCTCATTACAAATGCAACCTAAAGCTTGTCTTTCCATGTGTCCGCACTACTGTCAGCCGGGCTAGCTCTGTGAAGCTGGCACAGCTGGGTTAACGCATGCCACAGTTGTTCTTCCAGTGCACTGGATAGTCTTTGGTATCCTGTCCTGCACAAAACAACCAAGCATCAGCAGCACTGCTGGACCCCTTCTACTGAATCCTCTGTAGCCTGGACCTTAAAGAGCTCTTATGCACGTGCTTCAATTACTGAGCCTGAATTAATTACATGGATGGAATTAGTATCCCCTTCTCCAGCTAAATAGTGAATTTACTTCAAGAGATCTCAAGCCCCACCAGGATCAAACCCTTGAACCTGGGACCTGACTTCTAGGAAGCCTCAAAGTTCTGGATGAGGTCAAAGAACTGTGTGTTTTCGACACTTATTCAATATTTGGGGGCTTCATTGCTCTTCAGATTATTCTGCAGCAAGGACTTTAGAAATATATTACATAACTTTAAAATTAATAACTAATAGCACAATACGGTTGACAGCCAGGCTCACAGGTGGTGGGCAGTATGTCACAGCCTCCACATGGACACCGTGGTCATGCCCAGGCACCGTACAACACTGCACAGATGTAATGTATACATCCAGCAGTGTAGCCCAGATCATCCCAGGGGACTCCTGACTCAGAGCACTGAAGAGCTGGAGTGACTGGGTTGTATTAGTCATCATTTCTTTCCCTTTCTGGAACATTTCTGTAGCCAGTGGCTGTGGGAGAAAGAAAGTAAACGTATGCATGAAGTGGCTTTTTCTAGCCCACTTATGTTCACACTGGTGCCCATAATGTGCCCGGGGAAGTATCATAATCTGAAGCAGAGTCCTTGGGACTTTTTTTTAATCATCTCTCTTTCTGTGAAGCTAATGTTTAAGAAAGGAAATCTCACTCTGTCTTACCTTTGGAGGAAATACATAATGAAGTCGCCTTGTTCAGAACGAGGCTGTCTTAAATGCTAGTGGTAACAAATTACTTGGAGATACAAGCTAACAGGCAGCTGCCTGCAGTAATGTGTGTGGGTGGCATGTTGATGTGTGTTGACATATCACCTTGTTTCCCATGTTTTCAGGCTGTGAGACAAGAGGAGGAAATCTTCTGTTTTATCTACTCTGTGCTAGCCTTGATTGTATTGGGCTTCATCTCACCCCTTCTGTTCAGCTGTTTTCTAAGGTCAACAATACTGAGATTTTCATCTGCCTTCTTCGGGGAGAGATTTCCTAGGTCTTGATCATTTTTTATATCTCCTGTAATGTAGTCATACCATTTTTCTACAAAGACTTAACCAGTCCTGGGCATAAATTCCAGGAAAGCCTTATGCCTTCTATGGAGACATGGTAAAATTGGTTCATTTTATCCTGTATTTAAGTCTCTGATCACCCTAATGCCTTGTTAGCTTCAGCCAGCAGCAGCACACCAAGCAGTGAATGTCACTGCCCTGCATACGCTGGTGCCCAGGTGCTTTTTGCTCTTGCTGTACTTTGTATATGAAGAATCCAGTGCTCTGCTTTGTGTTTTCTAGCCACCTTCTGAATTTGTGGAATTTGCTCAGGCCTTTCTGGGAGTCTACATCAATTAGGTAAAACAGTTCCCTCTATTCTGTCCATACTCTTCAGGTAATTAGAAGAGATTAGTGAGATACAATTCTTCACTACAGGAATCGTATGAAACACCTGTATAACAAACTTCACATCGTGATGTTTTTAATTATTGTTTCAATCAGTTTGTCAGGTAGAGATGTAAGTTTTACTAACTATAATTCTCCAGGCTATCCCTTGATCCTTTTTAAACAACGGGTGAAATATTTACATTTCTACAGTTCTGTAGGAATATGATGGGTTTTTCTGAGAAAACCAATATTCTGCAGCTTTATAGAAAATTCTTTCTTATGCTCTCCCTTGGACCTGATATCTTATTGATTTTTAAATACTCCACTGTTTCTTCTTTAGGCACCGTAGTTTCGGTATGATCTCATCTTTATCATGTCTTGCATCTCTGCAACTTGCTTAACATTAAAAAACAAGGCAAAGGAAGTTAGTTAACTTCTCAGCAATTCATTTTCCTTCCTGCCTTGCTCCTTTACTCCCTGTGGTTTAGCACACCTAATGATTATTGCACATACTGGCTTTTTTGGCCATATCTGAAGACACTTATCTTGTCTCTATTTACATTAGGTACCAAGAGCATTCACCAGAAATGAACTGCTTTCAGTAATAGAAAGCTCATCAAACAAAGGTAAAACAGTTTTAAAAAGTCATCTGTTAGTACAAGAATGCAAACATTTGCTGAAGTACTTACATTTTAAGAATTTGTATAGATTGACTGCTTTCAGTGGGATTACTCATGTGAGTCATCTTAATTCCATGACTAATATAGATTGACTGCTTTCAGTGGGATTATTCATGTGAGTCATCATGTTTTGTTTATTGATTTTTGAACTTGAAAAATTGCAAATATCAGTAATTTGAAATACTTACCAGCCACCTCTTTAACGTGATAGGATTGATGTTGAAGTCTTTTACCAACCCAAGATCATGGTACATATGTTCCAAACAACTCAGCATCTGCAGTCAGGAACAGATAGTTTATTGGCTTGGTAAATATCACTTTACAATACATCTCAGAGTGAATTTCTTCCTTGTAAGCATCTAATAAGTGCAGATCCCTCTCATGAAGATGAAAGAAAGTTGTTGAAAGATTGCATGATTAAAGACAGTGCAAGAGGGGAGACAGAGAGATTCTGAAAGCTTTTTGAAGTAGACAGATTGCTGTTGACTTCATAGGTTTTGTGCAGGGCTTTGAATCACACCAGCTGTCTTTAGCAATGTGATTCATGTGTATCATAGCAATTCCACCTCACAAACGAGTATTGCCATTTTTCTAATTCAGCTGAGGTATGTTCTAATGCTCAATGAAATCAGTGGGAGCTTTTCCAAAGGCCCTAGCTGTACAGAAATGGGTCAGGCTCTAGCTGTGTAGAAAATGACAGCAGAAAATAAAAGATCCTTAAAGAAAAGTTTATTCTAGATATGTGTCAATATCTTCTTTCTTTATGACTTCTTGTGACTTCCTAAATCTTAACTCAAATTTCTTGATTAACAAAAGATGTCTCGTTATAACACTACAGAACTGCAGCAGGTTTGTAACCATCCACCCCCATAAACTGTAACTATGAATCCCAACAGCTGAAATATAAAGCCAGGCTGCTCTTTTTGAGACAACATCTGCTTTGTGGTAGGAAGGGGGATGCAGGTAGTTCAGCACTACCACTCCTGTTTAATCTTCTGGGTTTGAAAATATTGCGAAAGAAAGGTATTGACAATCTGATGTGTCTGGGCACTTAACAGCTGGTCAGAAATGAGCAGAACTCCAGGAGTTCAGGAGTTTATGTATCTGTATTCCCATTTCTGAAGGCAAAATCTGCAGGGGATGAAATGTAGCCATTATATTAGCAAATGCAGTTCTTAGACTGTAGACTGATCCAGGAGTGTGTGATGAGTGTAATGTCACAAATATGGCCTTGGAGACATTTTTAGCTAGTTTTCTGTTATTTAGGCTCTTAAAAACTCTCCAGAAAAATGATTTCATCTAATGAAACTTTATATTTGTCCAGGGAATATACATAGTTCATGCAGTAACAAGGGGGCTGGTTTTGAGTCATCCGAACAGGAAGAAAGAAATTTTCCTGCAAGACTTGAGGGAGAATGTCATGAGCTGAATTGTGCTCAGATCACAAGGCCAGCATTTTGCTGTAGACCACCTTGTCTTGTTCCTAGTCCCTGAGGAAGAATATATGTTTTGCAATAGTTTCAGAAAAGACTTTCCGAGCCAATAAACTTGATCCAGAAGGGCTGAATTACCCTCAGAAATGCCCATCTCTGTCCAGCTGTTGTCAAGAGAGCTTTGGGTGAGTGGCTCTGATAATGGGTGATTCTGAGTCCCAAAGCTCCTGACCCTGGACACATGAGAATCTCAGTTTTCATTTTTAGCTTTCTTGGTCAACAGCAAAAGCTTGAATATTGGACTTTTCTAAGGCTTGAAAGTGAGTGAGCATTTAGAGAATGCAAGCTTGCTGTGTTGCTCTGTTTATTGAGATGCTGCAGAGCACAACATTATTAATTTGCTTACAGAAGACTATGGTTTATAGCCTGCCTGCCCCACAATGAGCACGTGGGCAAATGCTCATTGCTAAACAAGTATTGACAGAATTGAAATATTCTCTGTAAACATAAACCAGAGCTAAAAGGGTGAGATAAACCCATACGGTGCTCGGCTCACCAGAGTTTTGCAGCATCTTATTTCTGAGCAGCACTCCTCCTTGAAGGGCATGTCCAATCTCTGCACCCTCTTGTTAGCCTCGTTCATGCCACCATATAGTGTTTCCTAGTACTCTGAATGTGTTACTGTGCTAAAATACTATGCCTCAGCACACAAGAATCCGTGGATAATGGTTTTTGTCTCTCCTTACTCTTTATTAATAGTCAGAACAACAACGAGCCAACAGTGTTATGGTCCACCTGGCAGGTCGTAATTCTCTCTTGCTGTAAAGACCTGACAGGCATTCAAAAGCTAGGGGCGAGTCATTCTGCCTGAGCAGTCGTATGGCCGTGGTACAGAGAAAAGGGCTGGAAAGGGAGCAGTAACTGCAGAGCACCAGTCTCAGCTTGACATGGGCCACTCGAGGGAAGCTCTGCCAGCCTGTGTGAATGAGAGATGGACCTAAAGCCACCAGAGAGTCCTTCTGTTACCGAACCAGAGAGTTCATCTGTTACCAGCGAGATGAAATATCCTGAAGGAAATATACTGTTACTGTGGGTGGGGTATGGGGTATTTTTCCTTGTCATGTTGATCTACAGGTGCTGAGCTAGAATGACACTTGTATGCACAACATCTGGTTGAGAAGGTAATTAAGGTGATTGCTGCTGGGGCTGCTGCTAGAACAACCCAATCCTTCCCTTGGGAAAAATCCAACACTAAAATCCTTGTTTAGTCCTGTTCTCCCTTACATTTTTCATAGGTGAGATTTGCTTGTATTTGCTGAATCTATTTTTACATTATAAGCTGGCCATTACAGAAACATCCTTCTCCTTCATGTTTCTAGAGACGTTTACACATGGGCTTTCTAGAACCTTCTGCAATACAAGTGACGACCTATGAATAATACTAACAGCAGTAAGAAAAATAGCAATAGCAATAAGAAAAGTAAGAAAATGAAGGAATAAGAAAATACTAATAGGCTGTGCATGCAGCTTTGCAACCTCTTCAGAACACACTGCAGAAAAACCCTTGCCTGAAAGGGCGTGAATCAATGTTTGCACCTCTGCCTGGCTTCACACAGCAGCAAGCTGCTTTATTGATTTGAGTGGGGTTATTGATGATATGCTCAAGCATACACTTTGCTAGGGATCGATTTGTTCAGGTAAAATGATATGAGAGAACTCATGTGGCAGTAATGATAGTGTACTGGTTGTTATGAGACATTACTAGGAAGAGATTAAAGAAAAAATAAGAGGAGTCAGGATATGATAATCAGCATAATGTGTCTGGCAACAGTTAGGAAAAAGTACTGTATTCTGGTGTAATATGAAAATAAAAAAAAGTATAGAGAGTAAGGGGCAGAAAAGGGTAAAAACCCTGCAGACCATCCCAAAGGGCTCTTCTGGCCTTGTTGGCTCTCAGAAAGAGTGCTAACCCAGCTAACATGGCATCCTTACCTCATTGGGCTCCCACAGCCAGACGTCAAAGGTTGGTTTCCGAAGGGCTTCAATGGTCTCTTGGGACAGCATGTACTGCAGAAAAAAAGGCAGTCAGTATAAGTAAGGATCCCCCACCCTGTCACGAGACCTGCTATTGGCGTGTCCTTGGGACTCCCGGGGTTCCATTCACATGGGGTTTAGCTATATTTCTCAAGGAGAGAACAATTGATCTCTCCCTCTTCCTGCCCAACCCTCCTCAACTTCCCCACCGGGCTGCTTGTGGTCACACTAGGATGCCCAAGCCTGGTGGGCAGCAAGCCCTCAGGCAGCTCGCTGCCTGCCATGGCACCAGCTGGCAGGCAGCTGGAGATCCTTGCGGAGCAGGGAGGTGGAGGATTTGGGAGTAAAGGGAGGAGAGCAGAGGTGGGGGCAGAGATGGGGTTGTGGGTAAATCCAGCACAGGGATATAAAAGGCACAGGGCACAGATGTGTCCCTGGCTGCACTGGTTCTGATGCCTGCAGAGCATCCGCCACATTCGATGCAGCCAGTCGTGGCTGGATGGTGTGAAGTGTCTATGCTTACAGTGTTAAATTAGCTGGTGGGTATGATATGTTTACTTTCAGATGATTTATGCTCTCATTTTGAGTATTTTTTCAAGAACACCCACATTTTCCAATTGGTTGTCAGCCTGGAAGATTCAAGTGATTTTTTATCATTACGCTCAGAGGCTTAAAACAAAATCAAGCTCATCGGCCAGTTACAATTTGTATACAAAATGAAAAAAAGGAATGTGGAGGGTTAAAAGATCAAGGGAGATCTGGACTCTACCGTTTCATCTTTTCAAGACTCTATTGATCAGAGTCTTTCTAGGACAGAAAAAGGTTGTAGCTTTGATTGGCCCATTTACCGTGGCTGTCTCTAATTAGTTTGGGCTTACTGTACTGAGCTAGGGAATGAAATTTTCTGAGCCATTGAATTGTTGATATGTAACCCAAGGAAGAATAACCTTGAAGATTAATTTTCCTTCTTAAGAAGGCAATGATTTTTGCATTTGCATATATAACGTATATTTAATAGGACGTTCTGCAAGAAAACTGTGAATTAGCAGTACAGATTTGTTATTTGATAACAGTGTTGTAATGACATCTTCTTTCAGTGTACTCATCACTTCCTAGCCTCACTGACATTGGACAAATCCAGTACCTGACAACTGATAAGAAATTTTGCAAATCTGTGAAACAGAACCCAAACTCCTGAAACCAAAACTCCTATGAGTTTTGGTCTAGGGATAATACAGAAATGCAGACTACCAGTTTGCTCTGCGGTCAGTCAGTACAACTCTTCGTAGAGCTTGTTGTTAATTCAAGATCCTAATACCATAGCAGTACATCAGAGTTTGATTTGACATATATACTTATCAAGGGAAAAAATCTGGCTTAGAACTGATATGTTTTGTGAAAACATGTGTTAGCATCAGAAGCACAAGCCTCTTGGGCAAAAGTTATTTAAAAGAAATGTCAGTCTCATGATGTCTGCTTCAGAGACCTAGAGGTCACTTTTGCTAGGCAGAGCAGAATAAATAGCAGAACTTAAAACTCATTGCTCTGTAAGGCTCTGAAGACAAATATGCAAGGATGCATGTCCATATCATCCACCTCCATCACATGGGACCACGTGAACTTCAGAGTGGCTGAGCCAGCTTTGATGTGTGCAAGCAAATGCCCACTGCCAAACTATGATTTGCACACGTGTGAGCTGCTGTTTTGTCAAAGTGTGAGCTGGTCACTGAGCAGACATAACCTGGTAGCTTTGAATAATTCCTAGCGGCTAAGATTGCTGGTGCTAGGACCAAAGATCCTGTGTGCTTCATGGTTTCAGCCCCATTCATCACTGTGGATTTGTGCTTGTACTTGCCCAGTAGACATTTTTCTTTAAACATTACTGTTTTCTCTGGCAAATACACTAACTCATTTTCACAGGGACAATGAATCATTCTGGAGAGAATCCAATGTCACATTTTCTCTTTGTTTCCCTAGGTGAAGCATCCCCATAAATTACTTTTTAAATTAAAAAATAATCTATTAGGAGAAAACAGGCAGCAGCACTATTTTCAATTAGAGCACAACATTATAGGCTATTTTTGATTGTTCGCTATGAGCATGGAGAATAAACAAATATAACTAGACAAAAGAGCGTTAAATGTTGACAAATTCAAAATGTTCATTAACATTTCAAACACTAATAAGCTTTCAAGTATTAAAGACTATTGAGGATCCAACTTTAAGTCACCGCAGGCAACGACAGCTTTTTCTATCATCTTCCAGGGATTTTGGATCAGGGACTGGATTTAGAACAACTAGGAGGTAGATGGCTAGGGAGTCATGCATTGTAAACCAGCATTTGTCAGGATGGCAAGCGCGTGGTAGGATTCTGGGAAGAGCAAGAATTGAGTGGTACCTTTGGGTACGATGGTACATCCCGCCGGGGAGTCAGCCTCTTGTTTTCATCCAAAAAGCTGTACTTGCAGGGACAGTTAGTCCTGAAATGAAATATTTAGCTCTTAACATTGTGGAAACAGAACCAGAGTGCCTCAAAAAATGCCAGAAGTAATCTGGTCTCTCAGTAGGCATTGTTTGGAGAATCACCCCACTCCTCAACCTCTCCCTTTCTAATGTGATGTTGCTCAAAGTGTGATCCTCTTCAGGATTTTCTCCCCTCGTGCAACACCCTCATTGCCCCTTCTCCATCTATTTGAATTCAAGAGAGGAACATCTGTCTTCGGGCATGTATCTATGGATACCCAACCACTTCTATTTAAACCAAGTAACTTTCCTTTCCTTGCAGTCTCTGGTGGGCTTAGTGGTCCAAGCACAGCAGAGCCCTGCCAGGGGCCATGCTGAGTATGGACACTGGCACGCCTGTGTTATTTACTAGTGTAGGCACCCACTGAGCCCACGGCTTATTGCAGCCCAGCTCCAGGCCTCATAAAAGCTTGGGTAAGACAATCCATTTTGATGCCATGACCATCTTGCCTGCTGCCGTTCAGGTGGGACAACAGTAGAGAGGCACAGGCTCGGCAGACACAGTCTGCTTGGCTCCCCAGTCCTGGAGGAAAGGAGCTGCTGCCAGCAGTTACAGGTAATTAACACTTGCCTGGTTATTAACACCAGCACCCACTGCTAGCTATCTACGCTTCCTTCCTTCCCATGTGGAAGAGCCAAGCTGATGCTATCCCACCTGAGCAGAGGACTGTGATGGTGGGAAGTGCCACACCAGCCTTACAGCCTTTGCAGAACACCTAGGTAGCTGCATTGCAGTGTGAGAGCGATTTCTTGCCTTAGAGCCACAGGGGGCACAATAAAACTAGGAGCTCACTGGTATTGCTCGTGGCAATTGTCATACTTTCACTCAACATGTATTTCCCAGGTAGTTGGTCACATGGACTTTAATAACTCTCATGTGAGGTTGATCTGCTTGCATTTTGCATTTATCCCTGTAGTCCTAACATTTGGATTATCCTTTCTCATTTCTCAAGCCTCCTGCCAAATGGAGCTAAAAGAAACCCCCCAAAAGAAGCAAACAAAAGTATTCCATTAACTTTATTTGTCCCTTTTAAAATTATTCTGCATATTCTGTATTGCATATCTTTTTAGTGCTTCTCTTCTCTGTTAGGAATTGGTCCGGGTCCCTTTTCTTTGCTCCTCTTAGCATTGATATCTGCTATCATTTCTGAATCCTGCAAAAGTTATGTCATCTTACAGTTCCTGGTGGTCAGCTGGCTTCAACCAGCTGCCTTTTCCTGCCCTGGTTAAAGAGATTCTCAGTTGGTGAAAAGCTGTCATAATCTTTTCTAAAGCTGTTTCCTCAAAACTCCACTGTGAGGGGTATTAGTAGGATAAAAATAGTGAGACTGGGGCATTCCTTGCCCTAATTGGAGCTGGTTGCCAGGGTTAGCTGAGGGTCAGCCAACTATCTCTAATTCCCAGCTGTAGTAAGACACTGAAGCCTTCATCCCACCACGCTGGGGAACACTAGAGTCAGGATGCATCAGACCTTAACAAATGTAAAACTCTATCTGCAAATGATCATTATTTTAAATGACACTATAATGTTATTAGCATCTGCCAGTGGCGAGCGCAAAAAGCAGACTAGCAAAAAAGGCAATTTGAGGGGATGCAAGTGGGGTTGCTTTGCTCTTCTGAAGAGGAGAGATGCACAATTCACAGTGTGTGATGACTTTTATAAACCTAGCTGTTCATCCTTACTCTGTTGTTTGGTAATGTATCAGCAAATGTAAGAATATGTAAACATACAATAATACAGCTGTGTACACTGATATTATTGAAGGAATATATGGACTCACACATGCTTATGTATATTAATTAAATTTAGATGTGATCCGTAATTGCAACTGTAACGCATTATCTAGCAAATAACATTGCACAGGGGATGGCAAGTCTAAATAGGAGCAAAACCATTTCCACTTGCCCTGGGATGCCTTTGTTCCCCCCCACAGCATGCATGTATCTCACGCCGATGGGAGAGAGCTCGCTCAACCACTCTGGGGTGAAGCACCATTAGGCTGTGGTCACTGTGGGCTACTGGCATGGCTCCTGTGGATCCGGTTGCTCGGGAATGGGGAACCACAGCTCATTCCTCAGCAGCTCCCAGTGGGGTCCCTCTTAATGGCCAGCCCCCAAGGAGCATCCTCTCCTCACTCTTACAGCAAAAAGAGGTGACTCGTAGCCACCCCTGGTTACACAAAGCAGCATCTAGCTGCTGCTTTGAGGCCCAAACCCTTAGGGTACAGATAATCATGGGCAAAATTTTGTGCAAGGATGAGGAGCTTTTGTGCAGCTGGGAGGAGGAAGACCAGGCTCAAGGCAACCAAGAAGAGCTGGGACAGGTAGCTGCTACATCGATACGGCGCAAAGTGATGCTGAGCAGAGCAAGTTAGACTCCTGCTTCAGCAAAAGCAGCTATGCAGTGTGAGCCCAGATCAAGCCAGCTTGAGCATCTGTGCCCAGCGCTACCTGCTGCTGAGCACTGCACCGCTTTTTACCACAGCTTTCCAGCGTCATGCTCCATGCTGATCTCTGGCTTTTGGCAGCTGCCATATCTCACTACAAGCCCTTGGTGAAGACTACACCTCAGCTGTACTGAGCAAATGTAGCACTCCCCACTCCTGTTTTTCTTGTTAACAGATTGCTGTTTATACTACAAAATACAGATTGTAAGGTGACAAGATCTGGGACAGGAATGAGTCATAGCTGCTGCTGGGACAGTCTCATACTTCCTGATGTGTGTGGCAGCAACTGGGTGAATGTGAAGTTGCCGTAACTTCTTTTTCTGGTTTTAATTCCCTATCTGCCTGTATGTCACTATGCTTGTAAATGCAGCTCTCCTGGCTCCCTACAAAAGTTGAGGAAAATTAAAGATACATACACGGGCACACACTTTACTAACACCACACCCAGCACAAATGAGAATACACTTTTTTGCGTTTGCTGCCAATCTGAGCTCTGATTTTTCTAATGAGATTTCCTCCTGCACCTGAACAAGAAATGACGCAAGTCATGGGGCAAACTGTAATCCATCCTACTGGTAGAAATCTGGAGCATATCTGAGGTTAATAATGTTACTCTGCATTTATGCTAGTATGACAGCTGAATTTGGCCTTAGGGATGTATTAACATTGCGCCTCCTGACATATCTGCATAGCAAAATTTATAAAAGCAAGTGATTATAAAGCCTAATTCTTTTAGCAAATCTCCCATTGCCCTTAATAGGAAATAGCTTTGATTAAAGGTCAGAGAATTTGACCCCAAATGAAGAAAAGGAGAGAGGCTGTCAAGATAGCATAGTTACAGTTGCTGAGAAAAATCCCCTTCACCCACACTTTGAGCAATGTGCTATATCCCTCTTCAGAAACCTTCCCAGAAGTATTCATAACCTCACAGTGATGATTTGTTTGTCCTAATGGGATATTTCAGCGACACAGGGGGCAGACTTTCCAGCCGAGACCACATACCGTACCAAATGCAATTTTTTCTGCTGTTGTTTTAATTACAGCGAAACCAAGCTTCACAATCACAGTGAGCCCTTGAATCAGAAAATAAATTCCCAATTTCTTGTTGAAATTGAAATGGATGTTTTATAATAGCATGAGATCATAATTAGAAGAGCTGCTACATATTTATTTGATATTTTCCCAGAATATATTTGAGCCGATTCGAGCGTTAGCTGGTTCCCAACCAAACACCGCACTTTGCAGAAGTTCTTTTCCCTTTCCCTCTCTCCTAGTAAATCTGGATGAAGAATTCCAATTCTGTATGGTGAAAAACAACTCTCTGTTGCAAGACCTTTTTCTCTATTCCCACGGCCTGAGCTATTTTAACAGATGAATGGCTATAGACCTTCAAATGTTAAATTAAAGCCACTGTCCTTAATGGTTATTGGTTTCCCTGCCCCTTTACGTCTAAGCCCAGAAGGTAACTCAATCCTGCGGAAACGTTGCATTAGGGTTTGAAATCAGATGCTTATTTCTTTTGTTAGGTCCAAAGCAGAACTTACCTGCTGCTTCTTGCTGCCATTTCCTCCCTCATCTTTTTAATGTCGCTCTTGCATTTCTCAATCTCCACTACTTTCAGGCCTTCCACTGTCAACAAAGGAAAACAACAGGGGTGTTACCATGGCGAAAGTCGAAGGATCTCGTTTCACAATTGTGCAAAATTTCAAAGGGCTTTAACAGTGGGGTTATCCAGTGAGCCAGCTAACTCTTACAGTCTGCCCCAGTTCTCACATATGCAGGTGCTGCCAAAACGATATATCTTGAAAACCCATAGGAATTCTCTGCTGCCAATTTCAGATAATAGCTACAGTATTTTAATTCACAGAATGGCTATAACGTCTCAGCTTTTCCACAATTGTTAGCAGCAGTCAGCTGTTCGAGTGCCTTCACTTCTCTGCTGTAGAACAGGAATCAAAGGAAATCCTGAGCAAAAAATCCCTCCCGTGACGGGATGATAAGCGCAGCTCGGCAAACACGTCCCGATAGGAATAGAATTCCCATTAAGATAAAATGTTTTAATTTGAAAGTTCACGCAGAGCATTAAGGAGCTCTGGGTGGCATTGCTAGATACAGAGAAATCAAAGTGAGAATGCAGGAGAGAGAGAGAAATGTTGAAAAGTTTTGCTCTAATGATTGATTTCATTTTTTTTTCAGCTATTGAAGATCTGTCACTTCTTTTTGCCAATCAATTTTGTAATCAAAGGTTATTTCTGCATACGGCACCAAAAAATCCTATATTCCCCTTCTGTATGTAATTATGAGGGCCACAAGGCAAAAAGTTTGATTGCCTGTTTATGCAGCAATGCAATTCATTCCACGTAGCCGTGAGAACCTAACGCAGTGCAAGTATGAGAATATTCTCTCGTTTCTTTCCCTTGTTGAACTATCAGCATGCTCAAGGACATAATACAGCACCATTTATTAAGTACATGTCATTCACATGCAATCATTTCACAGCTCATTTGTTTACTGAACTCATTGTTTGCACGGACAAGCTGTGGTTCAGGGAACTCGGAATGTGCAATCATACAATCAGTATTCAGTTACTTTCTTAGAAAATAATAGGCAAAATCACACTTATCTGGAGGGCAGCATGTAAGTGATAAAAAACTGCCTTGGAAGGGCACAACTCTGTAGATAAGCAGAGACCTCAGTTTTGTTTTCTTTATGTTAGTAACAACAAAGATTGCTGTTGGAACTGGGAAAGGGGAAAAACAGAGAGGTATATGAACCTAGTCAAAAGTGCCACATATTAGGAGAGGAAAGAGAAAGGGTTTTGATTTATACTTGATTACAGGGATACCCTCCACTTAAAAATCCAATTTCCAGATTAATGTATTTTGACTAGCATTGTTATAAGGAATTTCTTTGGGTGATCACAATGTGATGATACAGGCATGATGCTGTCCTGCTTATTCAATATCTTCATTCTGGATATTTGGCTGCACTTTTCTGACTACTCGTTCAACTGCAAATGATCAGCTGCAGCTGACCTGGAGGCCCTGTGCTGCTATGTACCACCCTGGTGCATTCACCTGGGAGAAGTTTGCGGGTACCCCATTTGCCAAACTGTCTAAATGGTGGCTGGTGCCTATTTGAAGTAGTGGGAGCAAAGCCGAGCTATCAGACCAAAGGGGTAGTGAGGCAGGCAACTGCAGAGAGAAGAGGAGTTACAGTGTAAAATGGCAGCCCTGAGCTTTTTTTTTGTATTGTGTCTCTAGTTTTCATCCAAAACCTCTCCAGGGGAGCAGAGAATTTACATAATTATTTTCTTAAGGTAGATGTGAGACGCTTACAAATTGTAAAGGGTTTTTGCCAGCTTCCTTATGCATGTGTGGGCTGCTGTTCGAACACTGCAGCAGAGTAAGTCAAGGCACGGGACAAAGCATTACCAGTTCTTGCCCTGTGTGGACGTGTTTTCCAAGGGGAAGTCACAATCTTTAGATGGGATTTAAAAATCAGTTAAAAGATTTGGCTTCTTGAAAACACATCTCGGTGATGCTGTCTCTAGACAGCAATGGGAAGGAAGCTAAGAACATTTTATGTGAGGTGCAGATGTAGCGCTGTCATGAGCACTTATCCCCCCACACACGTCCCTTCTGGGGAAGAAATCCTGGAGGTCACATGTGAAAGTGGTGGAAAAGGGATCTCTGAAGGAGGTAGGAGAAAAGGCAAAACAAAAGCACAATTCTTTTCACATTTGGCTCGTAAATGATAAATGGCCTTGTCATGTGTACTGATTAAGGGCCCATTATATTATTCTGCAGCACGAAATACCTTCTGAAAAGACCCTGTGCTGTCTAAGGAAATCCTTGGGCTGAATCCAGCACTGAAACACAGCTCTGAAAGAAACCTCTGGGAGCCCAGCTCGAGTACGGAGTTTGGACACTCCCTTTCTCTCCCAGTTCTGCTTGTTAAACATGAAAGCCCAAGATTATTTCAAAATGTTTCAGATTTGGCTCAGTTGCAAATTCTGGAAGTCCAATTTCGAGCAGATGGGTGCACTTGCAGACAGGCAACCCAGGGAGCTCCTTCCCACAGGCTGAGGCTGCTGGAGCTGGGATTGGAAACGCTCAGGCAGAATGGAAGCAGATTGCTACATCTCCTGCTATTTCCAGCAGTGGTGAGACCCACTTGCAGAAAGAAGCCTTGTCTGGGGACCAGTGAATTCAGTTCACCTACACGGCACTGCAGCTCTGGGTAGGCTGCTTTCCCTAAAACAGCCATAAAGTGCCAGAGAGTGCAAGTGCACAACACTTGCCCACCGGCAGCAGCATGCAAATATTAATTATCTCCAAATCTTCGTTATCTCCCTCCACAGTGCCAGTGCTGAAAGGCAGCGTGTGCGCAGGGTGCAGCCGGCCGTCCCAGGCAGTCATCGGGGAAAGCCAGTGGCCGAAAGCAGCCCCTAGCTGGCTGGGATATCTGCTTGCCTGGGCTGCCAAGGGGATAGGAAGACCCACAGGAATGCTTGCCTCATTTGCTTCAGTCCATGGCATTTAGCCCTGAGGACTGGAGTGGGTCAGAAGTTTCACAGAAAATGCAGAGTGACTGAGCTAATTTTTCTTTTCTTTTTTTTTTTTTGCTTCTTTTGGACAAAAGAATAAATTAGAGGAGCCTTGGGTAAACTGCAGCCAAGCAGACTGGGAGGGATGGCTACCCGGGCTGCTTGCAGAGGTCTGTGCTGGGGGTAGGCATGCTGCCGGGTGCCCCCTCAGTGGACATCGCCGGTGGGCTCCCACCACACCAGGAGCCTGTGGCTGGGGTGGCCCTGGGGGGTGGTTCCCCTGCAGCTGCTCTTCAAATAAGGATATTTTTTCCTCCCCCTGCTGACAAAGGCATCAGTCTCACTGTGCAGCTGCAGGGTCAAGGTAGCTTCTGGTCGGGGGAAATTTCAAGAAAACAACTTCTTCCATGAACCAGCAACTTTGTTTTTGTTCTTTTTTTCCAGGCCAGCTCTAGTGAGAAAGTGCTTGCTGCAGCTGTAGTGCTGGGGAAGACTCTACCCGCTCCTGACTTAAATGCTGCATTATCAGCGAGGACATGGCCTTTGGTGTCAAAATGGAGCCGGGCAACACTGCCTTACCCAGACCCCCTCCCTGCCTTTCTGGGGCCTGTGTTCTGCACAACATACTGAAAAACAACAAGCCAGATGCTGCCTGGGGGAAAAAAAAAAACAAGCCACCCCCTCCCACCCCAAAAAAAACCCCTCCCCCCCCCCCCCCAAAAAAAAAACAGCAGAAAAGGAGCTCTTTGACCAGCAAAGTTAACTTGGTTGTTGCACAGTCACTGAACACGGTTGTGTTGCTGTCAACACGCTGATCAAGCGAGGAAACTGATGCTGCTTAGCGGCCCACCAGGCAATATGGCCAGCCAGGGGTGGAAGCCCTGCCTTTCTCAGCCTGGCAGTGGCTGCCTGGCGAGGCAACCAGATGTGGCCTCCGGCTGCCTTTCCGCAGACCGTGGTGGCTCACTTGCCGCCTGTTGACTCAGGCTCGGGGCGTTGGCGCTGCTGTTTGTGCCGCAGCTGCAGCGTGCGGGGCCTGCGGCCAGGGAGCGGCCTGGCCCCATGGCGGGCCCTTTCCCGGCAGAGCGGGGCGCGCGGCATGGCACTGAGAGGAAGTCCAGCCAGCTCTCAGGGCTGGGTCAGCGGTAAGGACTGACCCGACTGCTTCGTAAGGCAGCCCATGCGTGTCTGAAGGGAGAAGAATGTCTCTGCAAGACAACGTGTTCGACCTGTGCAACTACCCGGCTTAACGTAGAAGGAAGGCAGCCGCGTTACCCTCCTGTGACTAATTACAGAACGCAGGGGCGAGCGCCAGCGCGTGCGTGTGTGTGTGGGGCGATGGCGTGCTGGGAGTGCCCGTGCCCTGGGACAGGGGGCTGGGGCATGGCGGGGCATGGGAGGGCTGGTCAAGGGGGCTCAGAGGGGAGGCACTCGGACACCTGCAACACCAGATGTGCCTCCCTGGCCTCTCCCCACCGGTGGGTGCCACCACGGGCTCCCGCCGTCCCCCAGGCTGGCTTGCAGCCTTTTGGGCTCCAGGCCGGCCAAATTACAAGCAACTGGAGAAAGCAGAGGGGCTGTGAGGAGCAGGACAGCGGGGGGGTACGAGGGCAGTGAGGTGAGGGGGGGGGGTCTGAGACACCGGTTCCCACTGCAATACGAAGAAAGGGACACTCACATTCAACCTTTTTCTCCAGCATTGCCAAGTGATTAGCTACTTCCGTTTTCAGCTCATTGATTTTAAAAACCCTGAAAAGAAAACCCTCATGTATTAATGTTATACATTTAGTGCCGTACCTACCCTAGGTACAAGGGACTTTTGCTAGAAATGTCTGTATTTTTCAGAGGATTGATCTGTCTAATACAGTTGCTGTAGGGATTTTTTGAATATGCTAAAATTTGGGCAGAAACAGCACCCAGGTTTAATTTTCAGAAAAATTAACAACAGATGATTTTGTTATGGCCCTGGGAAAGTATTGTGGCTCTGCAACACTTCATCACCCCCTCTCTCAGCAGTGACTTGTTATTGTACCCCCCAGGGAAGCAAAGTTAAATTGATAATGATTCGCCAAACAGCAGCATCTTGGTGTCTGCATGCTTGGAAGCCCTCCTCCTTTTGAGTTATGCTGGTGATTTGCTGAGCTGTGCTGGGATTGATCTGTCTCATTGAAACCAGCTGGAATAAACTAAGCAGCCATACAGGTGTCGAGAAATCCTCTTGGAGGAGAGACATGTTTGGGTAATAAAGGGAAAAATGAAATAAATCAGATTATTTGACTATTCAATGAAGAAGCATTTCTTTTGCTTCCTAAGAAGGCAGGAGCACAATAAGAACATTTATATTTACTACTTGATCTCCTTTTTAGATCAAAGATAATCACCAAAATCACTTTTGGCTTAAGGTACTGTATTGCTGTCAGCAGGAAATAACG